CCTGGCCCAAGCCCTGAGGGCATGGCAGGGGGAGGGGACTGGGATGGAGCACCTGTTGGGGTTGGGGGGAAGGCTGCGCTGCTCCCGGCATCGCCTCCAGAAGGTCTCGACCTCCTCTGACATCTCCTCTGTGCTGATGAAAACTTGGAAGAGCAGAGTCAGAAGGAGGCGTGGGAAATTGTCCTTCACTCCCCCTGGGCACCAGGAGTGGGACAGCTGGAGGATCTCCCAGAGTGCCACAGTTGCCTGCCAAAGACAAAGCACCCAGAGACAGCTCTCAGGGCCCAGATGTCCATGTGGCAGGGCCCAAGCGTGGCAGGGACAGGCCAGAGGAGACACAGGGGGATCCCCCAGCCTGGTGTCCCTGAACCTGCCCCTAAGCCAGGCTTGCAGCCTAGTGCCTGGGGCAGGGAGAAGCAGTGGTGAGGGAGGATGGAAAGGCGTCCCAGAGGCAACCTGGGGGCGAGCAGAGGCCAGCTCAAGAAACTCACAGCCAGGGCAAAGACATCCCTCTCATCCCCATCAGAGGTGCGTCTCCTGTGCGCTGGCCAGTATTCCAGCACACGGAAGAGGATCTGCAGCACCGGCTCCTTAGTCCATCTGGAGGAGATGAGCGTCTTCCACATGGTGCGAGCAGCTCTGTGGAGTCACAACTCTGGCTCAGGGGGGTCTGGGACACAGCTCTGTGGCCTGGGCAGCTGCGGGGCCCAGGTGACAGAGCCACGGTGCCTTGTGGGGCAGGGAGGCAGGCTGGCCTCAGGATTGGAGGCTGACATGCCAAAGCTGGCAAAGAGAGGAGCTGGAGTGTCCTGGAAGTCTCCATGTCTCTGGCACCCCATTTGGGACAGGCTGTCCAGGGGGATGGGGTCTAAAGGCAGGTGAGCCCTCAAGGCAGGTGGGCCCCATACCTGTCACAGGCTGGGGCAGAGCGCAGCAGGGTCACTGCAACGTCCATGGGGTGTTCCTCGGTCAGCAGGACCAGAGTCTTGTCCAGCCTGTGCTCATCAGACACATTGGACATGAGCCACTGATGGATGCACCTGACTATGGCCGGCACCTGGAGGGGACACGGGGGACAGTTGGAGAGCTGCCAGAGCCAGTAACTTGCCCAGTTTCCCCCAAGAAGTGCTCCCCTTGCCACCACACTCTGCTGGTCTCAAAGGCTGAGGGGGCCCAGCGCAGCCGGCGTGAGGGGCCACAGCATCCCTGGGGGACTGGAGCCCTGGCCACAGGCTGCTTACTTGCTTTGCTTTGTAGACACCGTTCTCCACAAGCATATCCAGCAGGGCAGCGCTGGTCTGGGCATTGAAGAGGTCCGAGTTTGCCGTGTCCCCAGTGGCCATGAAAGTGGCCTCTTCATGCCAAATGCACCTGATGAATCTGCAAACCAGCTACAGGAGAAAGGCAAGGAAGAGAGAGGGATGTCCCCTGGAGGGCTGCGACAGCGGTGCTGGGCTGAGCAGTGAGAGCAGGCCCAGCCCAGGCGGGGATGGCTGCAGGTACCTGTGCTGCCCTGCGGAAGCGGCCACGGGCACGGAGCTGCTCTTCTGTCCGCTCCTGGCCTGCATCTGGCAAAGAGCGAGCGTGCTCAGAGCTGAGGGTGTGCGGGAGAGGCCGGAGAACACAGCCCAGGCCTGGGCTCCAGGAGCAGGCAGGGCCAGCCCCGGGATGCCCAGTGGATGGAGCACGGCTGCCGGGAGATCAGCCCCGGCCCCTCTGCCCCCCTCCCTTTCCCTGGGCATGTCCAGAGGGAATGGGACAGGATGAGGCCAAGGGGGCTGCAGCCACCAGCCCTGTGGCCCAGCTCCAGCACTCACCCTCCTGCGGGGGCTGCACCTGCTGCACCTCTTCAGGCTGCTGTGCTGGAGCAGCCCTAGGGCTTTCCTCCTTCTCCTCCTCCTTCACCCAAGCCAGCTTGGGCACCGTGGGGGGTCTCTGCTGCATGTCTCCGTCTGGTGTTATGGCTACCTGCAGCAGAGATGCCATGGAAAAACTTTGGCTCCCCAAGTCCTGCAGTCGTGCCTTGAAGGCAGCTGCAAGAGAGAAGCCTGGGAAATGCCTCGCCTTATCCAGTCCCACTGTCTGGCCTCAAGGGCACCTGCCCCAGGGACTGGAGATGCCTTGAGCAGCCCCAGGTCCCCAGGTCCCACAGTCTGGCCTGGAGGATGCACAGGGGAGAGGTGGAGAGCTGCCAGAGTGAGCAACTTGCCCAGCTTCCCCTGAGAAATGCTTCCCTTCCCAGCACACTGTGCCAGCCTCAAAGGCTGAGGGGGCCCAGCGCACCCAGCTTGGGGGACCACAGGCTGCTTACTTCAGCAGAGACAGCTCTCTCCTCAAGAAACTCCAGGCTGGGGGTATCGGCCAGGCGCTGAACAGGCGCGGCGTCAGTGCTCGCCACGCCCTCCGTCGTTGTGGCGTCGGCCTCCTCCGTGAGACCAGGCAGCACAGAGTCACAGTGTGACACATCATCGGTGGACGTGGTGTCCCAGTGGGTTGTGAGATCACTGGTTGCGGTGTCACACTTTGCTGGGACAGCAGTCGATGCAGTGCTGACATCAGGCTTTGTCAGCTGGGTCAGGATGGTGTCAGGCTGGGCCTGGACATCAGCTGGTGTGATCCTGGCCTTTCTACGCCGACTGCCCATGAATTTCATAAATGTCTGCAGGAGAAAGAAGGGCAGGGAAGAGAGGGATGTCCCCTGGAGGGCTGCGACAGCGGTGCTGGGCTGAGCAGTGAGAGCAGGCCCAGCCCAGGCGGGGATGGCTGCAGGTACCTGTGCTGCCCTGCGGAAGCGGCCACGGGCACGGAGCTGCTCTTCTGTCCGCTCCTGGCCTGCATCTGGCAAAGAGCGAGCGTGCTCAGAGCTGAGGGTGTGCGGGAGAGGCCGGAGAACACAGCCCAGGCCTGGGCTCCAGGAGCAGGCAGGGCCAGCCCCGGGATGCCCAGTGGATGGAGCACGGCTGCCAGGAGTTCAGCCCCTCTGCCCCCCTCCCTTTCCCTGAGCATGTCCAGAGCGGATGGGACAGGATGAGGTCAAGGGGACTGCAGCCACCAGCCCTGTGGCCCAGCTCCAGCACTCACCCTCCTGCGGGGGCTGCACCTGCTGCACCTCTTCAGGCTGCTGTGCTGGAGCAGCCCCAGGGCTTTCCTCCTCCTTCTTCCTCCGGAACAGCCTGAGCAGGCTGAAGCGTCTCCCTGCCATGCCACAGTCTGGTGTCCAGGGCACCTGCAAGAGAGAAAGAGAACCTCGGAGAAACTCCGGGCCCTAAGTCCTGCAGAATGGCCTGGAGGCCACCTGCCGCAGGGATTGGAGACACCTCGGAGAAGCTCCGGGTCTCCAAGTCCTGCAAAAGGGTCTCAAGGGCACCTGCCACAGGGATTAGAGACACCTCGGAGAAACTCCGGGTCTCCAAATCCTGTGGAAATGCCTCGAGGTCACCTGGAAATGAGAAAATCCTCCAAAACGCTCCGGGTCAGCAAGGCACGAGTTGGCTGCGCGGGGGCTCCGCACAGCACCGCTCTGTCCCGTCCTGTCCCGTCGCCTGCTCCGAGGAGCACTGTTGACACTGTGGCCGTGTCACCAGCAGCACCTCTGTCACCACGGGTCATAAAGGGCCCTTGGACACCCTGCCCCCTTCCATCCCACCGGCCGTGCCCAGTGTGTCACAAAGGGCCCTGGGACACAGTGCCACGTGGCCTGGGGCCTCCCCCAGCCCCACCAACCTGCCCCACCTTGGAGGGAATCCGCTCTCTGAAGTATCTAATCTGGCTGGACCTGAACTGTAGGAACGGCTCAAGAAATGAGCAAACACTCCCCTCCTGTGCCTGCTCACGGCAGCACAAGGAGCCCCCTCGGCCGCTGACTCAGTCGCAGCAGGAAGGGCACGGGGCCTTCCACACAAGCTGGCACGGCCTCTTTGGGAGAAGTGCTGGCTGGTGGCCATCCTAAACATGGGGGGGTGACACCGAGAAGGAAGCTGTGGGCAAGGGCACCAATGCTGTTGGGAGCCCTTTGGCCAGGGTTGCACCCAAATCAGCAGTTGTGGCAAGTCCTGGCCCAAGGAGACCTGCCACTGCCCCGAGTCCTGGCAAGGCTGCTGCCCGTCTACTGCCCCAAAGAGCTGTGCCCCTGTGTATTAGTTCATTTGAATACATGCCCGGAATAAAGACAAGTACAACAGACATTCAAACAGTACAAAAAATCTTTTATTGCAGTACGAATAAAAAACTAGCAAAGAGAATCAAAAGCTAAAAAAGAATACAAAATAACTGCTTTATCAGTTGGCATTCATACAATACTATGAATGGTTTTTATTATAGTATTAACTAGTAAAAAGGGAATTAAAGGAACATTTAAAGGATATTAAAACAATACTACGAGTGGTTTTTAATACAGTATTAACTAGTAAAAAGGGAATTACAAGGATATTAAAAAAGGATATAAAACATTTGCTTTCTCAATTGCTTCCTGTCAATAACCTGTGCTTACCCACACAGACAGGCCAGGGCTGCCAGGATCTGCAGCAGCTGGTCGGTGCCCGTGCTTAGCGGGCGTCCCCGCGGAGCAACACAGTCTCCATGGCAGGATGAGGATCGCTCACCCCAGCAGTCCTGACACCCCATTTTATCAGCTCTACATTACACCACGTAGGGCCAGTACCCAGTATAAGGTGATGCCTGAGTGGCAGCCAAACCCCGCCTGTTCATCACCTGATAGCAACAGTCTGTGCATGCCCTGCTGTAGGGCAAGGGGCGAGCGACCCCTGCCCACAGAATCTTCCTCCCATCATCATCTTTCTCACCCCTATGGATGACCTCTACCATTGTGTTTCAAGGGTAGATGTATCTATCTTGCAATATGTAGCAAAACCAAGGAAGAACTCAGCTCTGATAATAGGGGATATCAAGCTGACTTGCTAAAAAGCACAATGGACCTTACAATTAACCTGTGCCATGAAGTTACATTGTACCATACTCTGGCTGGTTTCACATCCTAATATGATTCCTTTCTCACGCCTCTATGCTCCATTGATCATCTAATTCAAAAGTACCCCCCTTACAGTTTAGCATGGCAGTGATCCCTAGGGAATATCTGCTGGCCTATCCAGTAGCCTCAGTAGAGGATATGCTAAGGACACACCAGTAAGAACTGCTTTTAGTTGCTCCAGTAGCTTTGCTCCCTGGGCCATAAGGTATGCACCAGAAATCCTGTTAACATCTCGAGTGTTTAATTAAGCATGAGATCACATTGCTCAGTTCCACTGTTAAACTGCCTCTGTGGTGCAGCCTCAGCTCATCTGGGCACTGCAGGGCTGGGCAGAAAGGCTCTGGGTGCTGAGGATCACGGCAGAACCCAGGCCCTGCTGCCATTTGGGGCAAGCTCATCTCATGCAGCAAAACCCACCATGGAAAGATAATTTTTGGTGTGTCTGCAGGAACAAACCTGGGCCGTGCCATCCTCACTGGCAGTGTCATCTGTCCCCACCGTGGGAGTGTCTCTCCTGTTCCTTAAGGAATGATACACATAAACCATCTCCCTGCGAATTTCATCCTAAAAGACAGCAGGGAGGAAACAGTTACCTGTGATCCACAGCCTCAGACTCATCTCACTGCACTTGCCAACGCTCCTTAAGTCTGGAGTCACTCTTACAACAAAGCATGCCAGTCACCCTCCCAAATGAATTTTCCAACAGCCACCTCCCACAGCAATAAGGGACTCTCCAAAACACCTCTGAAAATTTATTTACAATCATCTTCTGCCTTAAAACTGCCCCTGCTAGAGTCCCAGGAGTGATGCTGTACAGAAAACAGGCCATTTCAGGGAAAGTATTAATGAACAGGTGTGCCTCAACACATTTCCAGTCTGATACTGATCTGTTTCTTAAAAATCACATGCCCATCATCAGTCCTTGGTCAGAGCTGTGCAAAGCAATTCAGAGCTCTCTGGGCAGGTTGCACATGGAATTTGTGGACACAAGTCTTCCATGTGTCCTGTCATCCTGGGTTGATCTGTGTGACATCAGAAGGCAAGATGGCCCAAAAATTGGGGGGAAAAAGTCTCCAAAACCTACACAGTCTCAATATGGACACAAGCAAGATGGAGGAAAAAATCAGAAAGTTATGGTGTGTTTTTCTTGGGAAACATTCAATTCATCCAAACAAACCCCAAACTGTACAAGATAATCTTTGCTGTGTGTCCCGCCCCCTTTTTTTTTACTAAAAAACCTTCATGGATAAGAAGCAGTATAAACACAGCATAATGCAAGATGCATGGATCAATGTTGTGGAACAACTTAGTAGTGCCCCTGGCACCTGCTTGGATACAGAGATAACCCAGAAGTGAAGACTAAATGCAGCCACAGCAGCAGCTGCAACCACCAGAATTCCCTCTCTTAAGAAAACCTATTTTTATAAATTATTCCTGTTCTTAAATACAAAGAATAGAAAAAAAACCCTATTATCAAGACCTGTAGAGGCCATTTAGCTGCTGTAATGATCTACCCCATCAAACCTGAGACAAAAGCCATGTACCTCCCATACAGAATCATAGGCTGAATTTAGTTTTGAAGCCTCCCCTCCAGAAGGTTGGAATGTGCCCTATCACTCAACAAACAACCCCACAGTATCCTAACAAACCCTAATGGGATGCAGGATCCAGCTCAGTGTAACTGCATGACCCTTACAGACCTTTTGCACAGGAGAGCAACAACTCACATGCCTCACATGCACTCCCCAGCCCACCCCAAATGTACAGAGGTGGCTTCACTGCACCCACAGCATTCTCTTGATCTGGTTCCACGGAGATGAGAGTGTGATCTCTGAACTGCAGTCTGATTTTGCTGTCTATTTTTGGCAATTTCCCACCTAAGAGAAATAAATCCTCCTTAGAAAGGAAGAAAACCAGACAAACGGTTCAACTGAGCCCCCCTGTGCTCTCCCCACTCTCTCAAGGCTGGACTGTTTGTTAAGCTATGTTTCAACACCCACATGTCCTCAAACTGGTTGTGGAGGGGGCAAGGAGAAAGAGATTTTTTAATTCTCTCACCTTTCCTGTCTGCAAATAACTATAATAAATAGCAAGCTAGAGCCCAGGGAAAACTGCTACCAGTTAAATGCTCTCGGGATACAGTTTATCACAGCTGCCAGTTCATCTTTATTCCACTCGAAGGGAGTGTCATCTCTCCCACTGGACACGGGGAGCAAACACACACGTGGGGCCTCACGGCACATGAAGCTGATGCTGGACTGGGATCTTTGCCTACCACAAAATACTAAAAGTCCCAAGAGGAGCAGAGTTAGCAACAGCTCTACCATGGCATCAGCCAGTTTTAGTAACTTCAAAGCCCACCTGGAGTCAAGGAATCGGAGTCACATCCCAAGCAAGGCGGCAGCCGGTGCACAATGAAGTCCTTCTTCATGTCAGACGACCTCAGTTCCCTGGTGTGGTCCAGGTGCTCTGCAAGCCTCCTCAAAAGGCTGCTCAGCTTTTTGGTGGGGTCAGCTGCATTCACCTGCTAAATATCCACACGTGAATTCAAGCTGCACAGATCAGGCCTAAGCAAGTACAGAAATGCTGTAAAACTCTGGACACTCCTCTTTTATCTTTGCAAGGTTAACACTCAGTCCCAAAACAACCACCTTTGTTTGTTTTACACATTCCCCATGAAAGCTCACTTTCCCTTGCTCTGGGGCTACTGCAATGCTAAAGGACAAGCAAATGCAGTTGAAGAGACACTGCCATCAGCAAAAGCCCATGCACAGTTTCCCAGGCAAGGTTGTGCTGTCCTACCTCAACATCATCATAGTGAGGAGGAAGGCCCTGGGATCCCTGGGGAGTGATGGAAACATTGGACCCCACCAGAGACCCAAAGCAGCACTCCAGCTTCTCCTGAAAATCTTCCACAGCTCCTCCTGTAAAAAAAAAAGATGCTGTTACTTGCTGAAGAGCTCAGGCAAGCCCAGCCCACATCCTCCCCATGGCTTGGGAAGAATGATCACATCAGGGACACAGAGGCTGGGAAGGAAGGTGCTCTGTACCAGTGTTTCTCCTGAGGAGAGCACTGGAGATGCAAAGGGGATCTGCCAGGAGAGTCACTGCTAAGCCAAAAAGTCTGGTGCCCCAACCTGGGTTTGTTCTCTTCCCTGTGCCATCTTTAGGCTGCACAACCAGACAGACAAGGCTGAACAGAGGAAAATAATCCCACAAACAGCAAAACACCATAAGACAATAAGCACATGCAGGACCTGCATTCTCTCACCAGAGAGAACACACAAAGGTTAGAGACCTTTCACCAGTTACTCCAATCATTTGGGAATATTCAAAACCAAACTTGACTCATCCACACCCCACATGTGACAGAAAAGGCACCGAAGGGAAACAGCAGAACGTGCCAAGTACCAGATCCACACAAGTGCAGCTTGGCCATTAAAGCTGACAGCAGCCAGGAACACTATACCTGGGACTCAGCTTGTATTTGGGATCTTATTTGGGTCCACCTCACAATTAAATTGTGCTGACACCTTCAAGGCTACCTGAATCAAAGCACCTCCAAGAATCCAAGTCCTTTACACAACTGTGCAGCACCACTGTCTCCTTCTCAAACTCAAGGACTGAGAACACTCAGCTAAAATGGGCTGGTACCTTTCCATGGTGCAATTCACTGGCAAGAACACTGGAAATATTTCACATGGTTTCACACCTTACCCTCCATTAAAGGGAAGTGGCTCAAAAGCCACAAAGTTTGCACAAGGAAACAGTGGGGCAGAAGGGATAATTTAAGCACAGATGCCTAATCATCAATTTTGTGCATTTGTTTTTTTTTCCAAACTTTTATGTGACAGAGCAAAATTTTAAAAAGAATATATTATTACACATATTATAGCATGAATCAGATTTTGTTCTTACTGCAGAGCAGTGAAACATGATGGACAGTGCAAAAGTATAAACTGTGTTTTAATCCAGCTCATGTAAAGATTTCAGCAGGTCATCAATGTCAACCACTTCCCCTGGGGACAGAGATGAAGCCATGCCTAGTGCAACTCAAACACACCACATTATTAAGCCAGCATCAATTATATCCAGTGAAACAATCCCACCTTAAATCTCTGAGGCTGATGAAACTGTATTGTTGCCTTTTTCTGGTCAAAATCCTTCTTCAGCTGCATGTAATTCACTTTGCCTTCTTTATTTAAAACCTTCTTCTCTCCATTCACACACCTGCAGATATTCCCATCTTGCCCATAGTACAGGCCCTGGCTGCACAGCTCCTTCAAGTCTGACAGCTGGAACAGGGACAGGGAGTAAGCAGCCACCAGGGGATCATTGCTCTGCACGAGCAGTGGCTTTTGCTCCCAGTACTCCTTGAAAAACACCTCTTCTTTGATGGGGGAGATCAAGCTCCCGAAGAGGCTGTCTGGGTTCTCAAAACTCAGGGCTGAGGGAGAACAAGCTGCTTCCAGCTTTGCTCGTTTACACTGTGCCTGTGTTTCTTTTCCCATTTCAGCATGCTTCCCTCCTTTCTTGGGCATGGTTCCCGTTCAAGAGGAGAGAGGACCAAAACAATCAACCAGCAACACAACCTCAAGAGCTCACGGGCCCAGAGCAACAACTCTTCCCCTACCCAGTGGGATATCAGAGTATCCCGGGAACAGCTCTGGTTTCAGAGCCTCACTATTTGCTCCAAAGCATTAACAGTTTACAGAAGACAGGGAACATTGTTAGGCCTTCCTGTTGATGCTCTGTAATTACTACATTTACAAGTTTAAAACTTGTCAAATTTACCAGTTTAAAAGGCCAAGATTCTGCTCTCAGTCCTGTCGAGCTGTCAAACTTTGTTTATGTAGAACAAAAAGAATTCTTTCACACAAGCACAGACATTTCATTTTAAAGCTGGAAGTCATTTACTTTGGTTTTCCCAGGTAGATAGTATGATTGTGTACCATTATGCCAAAATAAAGAAGTTGATCTACAAATGGTTTGGCTGCCAAATTCTCAGGAAAGTTAAGGGGAAAATCAAGTAACGGTAGGTAACTGTGCAAGTCTGGAAAGCCAACACCTGAGAAGTTTGAACGTGCTGATGCCATAATTTCTAAGTAAAAATGACAGCTCTACTCCCTACACCCATTTGATAGGAAATGCTATCAATTTGTTGAGATACTTTTATTTACACAGATCCCGTACTTTGAAACTTAAACTCCAGTTCTGGTATTTACATGCAGCACTAAGTTCTTCTGTGCAGCAGGACACCCTTGCTGGCCCACTAACTCCTGGGCAGTGTTTCATCAGCAGCTCCTGCACAGCCTGTCCCTCAGCAGTAACCGAGGGTCACCTCAGCCCTGCAGGAGGGAATTCACATCACCTCCTTCCTGAGAGAATGAACATTCCCAACTGCAGCACGAGGCAAGGGAACGTGTAAAAAATTAAAGACTGAAAATCAGTCCCTGACTGACAGCAAGATCTGAAGATGCTGCTGAAGGCACCAAGATCTAAAGCTGACATCCCCAAATGACAGCAACACAGATGCAACCAAGCCTGGATTAATAGTTTTGAATTCCAGACCTAAATCCATTGTACCAACCTCTCAGCTCATTCACACTGATTTAAAGAAGTTACATTCAGATATTTACTATTCATAGAGCGCAGCTTCATTTACAACACGGGCTGTTCTGTAGCGTTCTGCTGGTTATTACAGCTGTTCCAAGCCCCCTGCCATGGGCAGGGATACCTTCCACAAGATCTAGTTGCTCAAACCCCATCCAACAGGATCCAACCAGGCCTTGAGCACTGCCAGGGATGGGGCATCCACAGCTTCTCGGGGCAACCTGAGCCAATGCCTCACCACCCTCCAGCAGAAAAAAATTCTCCCTTACATTTAGTCTAAACCTAAACCGTTCAGCTTAAACCCATTGCCCCTTGTCCTGCAGCTACAGGCCCTCATAAAAAGTCCCTCTCCATCTTTCTTGCACCACTTAAGTCCTGACAGGCTGCAAGGAGGTCTCCACAGAGACTTCTCCAGATTGAGCCATCCCAACTCTCCCAGCCTGTCTCCGCAGCTGCTCCATCCCTCTCATCATCTTCCTGGCCTTCCCTGGACTTGATCCAAGAGGTCTGTGCCCTTCTCACGCTGGGAGCTCCAGGGCTGGATGCAGCGCTCCAGGTGGAGAATCCCCAGAGCGCGGCAGAGGGGCAGAACCCCCTCCCTCACCCACGGCCCGCTGAATGGGATGCAGGATACGCCCGGATTTCTGGGCTGGGAGCTCAGCGCCAGCTCAGCCCCAACTTTCCATCCACCAGCACCCCCAATTCCTTCCGTGCCGGGCTGGAGGACAAAGCCCAGCGCAGAACCCCACACGGGAGCAGCTGCTCCCCGCCAGGGCTGTTCCCTCCCACACCACGGCAGCTCCCTGGGAAGCGGCGGGAATAGCGCCGGGCACGGCGGGAATACCGCCGGGCACGGCGGGAATAGCGCCGGGCACAGCGGGAATAGCGCCGGGCACAGCGGGAATAGCGCCGGGCACAGCGGGAATAGCGCCGGGCACGCACGGGAATAGCGCCGGGCGGGAATAGCGCCGGGCACAGCGGGAATAGCGCCGGGCACAGCGGGAATACAGCAGGAAATCCGGCGGCATTCCAGGGTCATTCCAGTGTGTATTCCAGTGGGAACGCAGCAGCACTAAGGTTAATCAATCTGCTTCATACAACGGTGCCTGGGCTTCAGCTGCGTTATTTATTTTTTTTCTGGACCAAAAATCTTCTTCTAGAGTCTCCCTGAGTCTCCCTCAAAGAAAACTTTGGAATCCTCACCGAGCACGTGAAAACTTCCAGAAATATTTTTGGATGCCTGTTAATGGTTTGGTTTACGTTGGCTAATGATGTCAGAAACAAAAGAAAATGTTAGGTAGGCTTTGCTGAAGCTTTGTTCTTGTGTACTGGCTTGAAGGATACGAAGCAGAACTAGCAGAAATAAAAAAGGTGGATTTTGGAAACCTCAGCAGCCTTACAGTGCACGGCTGATGTTGGTACAAAGTGACACTGCCATAAGTGTAACTAGAAGGAGCTTTCAATGACAGGTAAGAGAGGGGACTGTGTCCTGTCAACAACTTAAGGAGGGAGAATAACAGAGCCTTGCACATCTCCAGCACCAGTTCAAATCCTTCCCTTTACGGAAAGTGGGTTTCAGTCTTGTTCCTCCTCACAGTGTGGTTGTTACACAGTCAGAACTTCTGCTTCCCTGGCACCAGCTGGATCATTTGGAACAAATGTCCTGATTCCAGTGGGTTCTGCATTCATGGATGCATCCAGCAAATTCCTGTGTGCTGAGCAGAGGAAGTGGCAAAGTATAATATATAGAAAAGGGGGATGGAGGAGAGAAAAAGGCAAACGCTGCTCATACTGTTCAGTCCTTGTTCCTTTACCACCTGGACCGCTCTGTCGCCAGCTGACCAAAATATCATGGTCACTTGAACATGAAATAAGGATTAATCAGCATGTGGCTGGGTTACCAGCAGAGAGATTTTGCCAGGGGTGAACCTGCAGCTGTCCTAATTGTAGAAATGTGTACAAATTAGATAAAAAAATTTAAGTTTCTCTAGAAAGCTTTTTTTTTCATAGGCCTGTGAGCTTCAAAGAAAAAGAAGACAATCTCCACTTTCTAATTCTGAGTTCATCACTACATCCCTCAACATCCAGGACATTTTGCAAAACTTATTAAACTTCAAATATTTTAATGTAAATGCTCACCAATAGTTGGGATATTCAAAGTGAAAAATAGGTCACTGTCATGAAATTCTCTTTATTTCTTTCATGAGAATTAGCAAGCTTTGAAGAAGGAAGTAGTTCTTCAGACTTAAAAGGTTGCATCACCTAAATTAACACTCACAGGATGGGCGTACCAGCAGATGCTAAAAATAGAGAGGCCACATCCTGCACCTCAGCCGGTCACAGACACCCTTAAAAGATGTTATTTCTGTTCCAAAAATCCACAAAGTACCTCAGCATAACTGCCTGGACACCATCAGGGTGAATACTCAAACAAATACACATTTACATAATGGCTGTGGTGTTTTTAATTTGCTGTGGGACATAAACCCCACACATCTGACCGGCTGCAAAACCAGTAGGAATGGGGAAATACTTTTGAGTACCTTTTTAAAGACTTCCGGGCTGATCTGGAGAGACAAATTGGCTAAAAGTATTTATTCCCATCCCAGTGGGGAAGGTAACACAGCTTCAGAGGAGGGTGGTGGGCGCTGTAACCAGCCCTCTAGCACCCCCCAGACGAGAAATAATGCGTTTAAATACCGTTTGTTATTTTTAACTACTAATACAAGCAACAGATTTCTGAAGTGTAATTGATCCCGGTATCATCCCTGTCACTGCCTTAAGAAAATAAAAATTATAACCTTTGCTGTAAAAATATCCAGTCAAGTTTCATCAGCATTTACAAGGGCCTGTAGTGACAGCACAAGGAGGAATGGCTTCAAACTGAGAGAGGGCAGGTTTAGATGGGATATTACGAAAAAAATTCTTCCCTGTGAGGGTGGTGAGGCACTGAAACAAGTTACCCCAAGAATTTATGGATGCCCTATCCCTGGAAGTGTTCAAGGCCACGTTGGATGGAGCTCTGAGCAACCTGGGATAGTGGAAGGTGGAAGGACTGCCAATTCCAGCACAGGGCTCCTGCAAGCACACAACTCTACCTCCACCCTGGAAAGAAAGCCCTTACCCTCCGTCTCTCATGTGCAGTTGGTGGGGCAGCCTGGGCACTCGGTGGGCAGCAAGAGCTTTCTGTGGTGGCACCTTTTGTCTGGCAGGAATCTTCATTTGGATTCAATTTTCCAGGAGGTGGGACCGGCCATTGCAGAGCAGGGCAGAAAAAAGGGAACAGCAGCTCTTTTCCTAAGGAAAAGAAGTCTGGATCCTTTGGCTTTGAGGTGCAGTTGGTGGGGCAGCCTGGGCACTTCTTGGGCAGCAAGAGTTTTCCGTGGTGGCACCTTTTGTCTGGCAGGAATCTTCAGTTGGATTCAATTCTGGGGAGGTGGGACCGGCCATTGCAGCGCAGGGCTGAAAAAAGAGAGCAACAGCCCTTTTTCCCAGGAAAGCAAGCCTGTAACCTTTGGGTTTCAGGTGCAGTTGGTGGGTTTTACAGATTGGTCAGGGGCTGCAATGTGGTTCTTTAGATGATTACTTCGAAGGCGAGATTAAGGCACAAAACTCCAAATGTTAGGTCTCAAACAGACAATTTGCTTTCTTTGTAGCAATAAGTAATGGTAAAATCGAGGCGGGAGGGGAGAAGAAGAGGGAGAGATAAGGAAAAGGAAAGTACAAAAAGGTTACCACCCCCAGTGAGAGATCCAGGTGTAGTCAGCCTCAGGCAGTCATGGTGTTGCCCATAACCAGAAGAAACACAAACCAACAGAGTGCCGGTTTATGCGGTGCTTTATTCGGGGCCCCGGGAACCTGAGGACTAGCGTCCAAAGTCAGGATTCCGAAGACCCTCATTTTCAGTTCAGCTTTTATACACAAACAAGT